GGTTTTGGAGAAAATGACGAATAAGAAGGCGTCCGAGTATTTCGATTGGATGTCCGGCACCAGTACTGGAGGAATATTGGCTCTGTTGCTGGCGATGGGAAACTCAGGTATTAATTCACAAACCAATGCAATCGTCGCAATCAATGAATTGAATTACAATTAAATGTATATTTTGCGCACAAAAACAGCGTCCGATTGCCGTAAACTGTACTTTAAATTAAAAGACAAAGTATTTGTGGGTCTAATGCGTCCGTACGAATCGGAACCGTTGGAGAAATTCCTACAGAAAGCGCTCGGAGAGGACACCCGTATGAGTGACATAAAGGAGCCGCGAATTATGATAACGGCCACAGTGTCCGACCGCTTTCCGCCCGATTTGCAACTCTTCCGCAACTATGAGTCGCCGAACGATATCTTGGGATTTATCTCACGAGTAGAGCCCGTCTCTGATATGCCTAAACTCCAGGAGCAACTCGTCTGGAAGACTGCCCGCTCGTCGGGCGCCGCGCCAACATATTTCCGTCCATGCGGTGCATTCCTCGACGGTAACCAATAGATTGTTATTTCTATAAACAAATTAATNCCTAAACTCCAGGAGCAACTCGTCTGGAAGACTGCCCGCTCGTCGGGCGCCGCGCCAACATATTTCCGTCCATGCGGTGCATTCCTCGACGGTAACCAATAGATTGTTATTTCTATAAACAAATTAATCATTTCATTTGTATCGACATTATAGGAGGTCTTATCTCTAATAATCCAACGTTGGATACATTGACAGAAATTCACTCAATTAATAGAGCCCTTAATGTTATGGTAAGTGTGTATTTGAAGCGAAATTTGTTTTGTTAATACTGTTAATAAATGTCAATTGTCTTGACTTTTGTGTACAGAATCGTAAATCAGAAGAATTGAATTTAGATATAGTGGTGTCATTGGGAACGGGAGCCATACCTATAAAACAGGGCCAAGTGATCGACATTTGCAGACCCGACTCCATTATGGGTCAGACATTACTTTATTTATTTGTCACATATTATAAATTTCTAAATCACTTTATTCTTGATTATATGGTTCAGGTGTGACGAAGACCTTATTCTCCACCTCAGCGTTACTACAGCTTCTCATTGAACAGGTATTCAAATTTGTATGAATTGTACATTTAATGGATTGTATTTAAACGGAGTGTCTGTATGTCGTAACCTATAGGCCGCTCAGGCGGACGGACAGGTGGTGGAGAGAGCGAAGGCCTGGTGTTCGCAAATCAA